TGCTAAGATAATAACACCACCACCTAGCTCTCATATAGCACTTCTCAGCTCTGACTAGGATAGGCAAATTCCAACTCCCAGTGCTGAGTGTGCGAGAAGCTGCCAGGGTAAATTTATTATCTGGCTCGCTGGATTTTTGTCTGTTTTTTTTAACGTTCTGTTTTGTGAATTTCCTGCGTGAGAGGTGCTGGGGACTGGAGTGCTCCATGCGGCTTTAGAATTGCTGAAGCCCTCTTAGCAGAAATGCATGCCAACCCACCACGGTGCCTCAATCGCTCTCTGCAGGAATCTCCTCCAAGTCCATCTCCATGGCTCACATCATAATTGGCCTGTCATGTGAGAATGCTAACAACGGGACATCCTCATCAAACCATGGTGTATTTTATAATGTGGGCAACTGTCTATTAAAATCAGAATTGAGATCTCCCCGTACAGCTCATCTCTTGCAGACCAAGCAGATAAGCACAGCCTGGCTTCGATTCTGACCAATAAGCTAGAAATGAAAGGTTCTGTATAGAGCTGGTTGAAAAAATGCTAATTTTTTTTTCCAGGGAAATTCAGAAAAATTTTAGTTTTTGCCAGATTTTCTGTTAAAATGTTTGGATTTCAAAAACCATTTTCAGTAAAAATCCTTGAGTTTGGGGGACATTTTTTCTGTTTTACAAACGGAACCAAAACCAGAATATTTTTGTTTGCCAATATTTTTGTTTGATGAAAACCATTTTCATAAAATCAAAGTTATTTGACAAAGCAAGTTCTAACTAGCTGTAGTTCTATACGCTGGGCTAATCTGAAGTGTCTAATCCCACCATGCAATGTAGTATGTTGAGCCTAGGTAAAATTAGTCTAAGAGGAGAGAACGCCTCACTCGCTCTCTGCTTACTGAGAGCACTAATAGCCTCATGTCAAACCCCCTTTGCTTGCAGGGAATTGGCAATAGGAGGGGGAAAGTAGTTTGTGTATTACACAGTTTAACCTTGACACGTTCTATCCTAGCCCATCAATGGAAGCTGAAGAATCTATTAGCTGGCAAAGCCCATATAGTGTAAATATTTAAACAAAAATGATTAAGACTGTCTTGTGATTCTGGGTACCCGGCTTGGTAGTTGGTCTGATTTTCAGAAGTGCTGAGCACCCATGACTCCAAAAATAAAGTCTGTGGGAGCTGCTTGTGTTCAGAATCTCTGAAAGGTCAGGCTCAGTGTGTCTAGTTGAGCATCTAAAACAGGGATCTCAAACTCAAATCACCACGAGGGCCACATGAGGACTAGCACACTGGCCCAAGGGCCACATCACTGACACCTTTTCATATAAAGGTACAAAAGCCCCCCACTCCCTGGCCCTGCCCCCACTCCACCCTTTCCATGAGGCCCTGCCTCGCCCCTTCCCACCCCTTCTCTGCCCCCATTCCAACCCCTTCCCCAAATCCCCACCCCTGCCCTGCCTCTTCTTCGCCTCCTCCCCATAGTGCGTGGCTCCCCGCTCCTCTCCCCTCCTTCCTGGAAAATGCTAAGTGTTGCCAAACAGTTGTTTGGCAGCGGGAAGTGCCTGGAGGTAGACAGAGGAGCGGGGATGCAGCGCGCTGAGGGAAGGGGGGACGGGGAGCTTGGCAGCCAGAGGAAATAACTCCGGGGGGGGGGATGGTGCGGGGACCTTGGCGGGCCGTAGCAAATAACTCTGCGAGCCACATGCCGCCCACGAGCCGCACGTTTGAGACCCCTGATCTAAAATTAGTGGCTTTTGAAAACATTTCCTTTCTCCACCGTTGACCCAGTCAGGGCAGCAGGAGTCTTAGACAAGACCCTAAACAAGTAAGGAAAAGAGCTGTTAATATAAGCAATGTGGCAAAAACTTTTTTTCAGAGCCACTATAGCTTCAGAGAACATCTACATGATGTGCCAGGCAGGTGGCGGAAGAAGGAGATTCCAAGAAGCAGAGCAAAGGCAACGTCTATGAATTAATAAGGATACAAAGTCTCCTGGGTAAAGGAACATGCACAGTAGGAGCAGTCATTAAACCTTTCCAACTATTCAGCCATGCCTGTAGTGTGTTATGGGGTAGTTTTCAGAAATAGTCAACGTTCTTCAACCAAAAAATGAGAGTTTACTGCTCATGAGAAGAAGAGCAAATAACTCAAGTTTGAGCTAGAGACTGATACTGTCAAACTCATCCTGAACACAGCTGTGCCAATGTACTACAATTCTTATCTTCAGCATTAGCTGCTATTGCAGTCCTGGGTCTCCAAACACAGCAGTGCTAATTCACCACAATTCTAATCCGCAGCACTGTCTGCTATTGCAGTCCTGTTCTCCATCCACAGCTCTGCCAATACACCTCAATCCTGATCTGCTTCGCTCCATTACTATCCCAGTCCTTCTATTTTCCGAAGTCCCTAGGTCAGCTAATTCCTCTCTGTTCCAACCTACGTAACCTCCTGCTATCCCAGGCCTCAGGCTAGCTGTTTGAATACAGACCTAGGATCTGGGTTGGGCTTGTATAACCTGTGCTGCTAATTCAAGCAAGTTAGATCAAAGATAGCTCAGGTATGTCCACACAGGCAGTCACGTCTCTGATTGCAGCGTAGCTGTACCCTTAGACTCTATTGAAAATCCCACCCTACACAGTCTGCCCAACACCATACAGGCCCAATTTTCAGAGGTGCTGAGTGCCTACAGCTCCCAGCGGAGTCAATGGGAATCATAGTTGCTCAGAGCATTGAAAAGCAAAGCCCTACGTGAAAATAATCCAGATTACATGAGTCCCTCTAGTCCTTCCTCCCTTCACATTCCCTATCAGAGGAGCCGGTTATAACTAACCTGCATGGCATTACTGGCCCAGCTGTAGTATATTTTTACCTCTAGCTGCATCTTGGCACAGTTCCTGGTACTCTATTACAAGGCACATATTAGAATGATAAGCACCAAAAAGGCCCCTGTATTAAATATGATTGACGCTCAAGCAACTTCATAGAACTTAGCTTATTCTCAGTGAAAAAGGAGCTTCATTAATGGTAGCCATACTTTCAATTTACAATTCCTTAATGTATAATGTAGCAATTTACAGTGGACTTAGGTATAATTATTGTATTACAATGCATTTAAACAGAACTACATACGTATTCCCTTCCCTTCTTAACTGCTTTTCCCGTTTACATGGGGGTTTGTAGTTAATCATTTGATGTGATTATATAGTTATATGACTGACTGTATTATTCATCTATTCTTGCAGTTAATTTATGTATAATCAATGTGTGGTTAATAGTTAAGTTGTAGGATAAGGATAAGGATAAGGATAAGTAAGGTAAGGTTGCAATGTAAGGCCTTCATAGGTTCAGAAGAATCATCCCTATGTTAAGTACATTCTGGTCTCTAATCAATAGAAACTGCATTCATTTTTTAAGTAAGGCTAATGATTTTACTGAGTGCCCCTTTCAGGGTCTCTGGCAAAGGCCATCGCCCCAGTGGACTTTATAGATTTTCTCACTAGCTTGGACTTGTCATCCTGTCTTTTTACTGCATAAAAAGTGCAGTGTGACCAGAGAAATTGAAGTGTTCTCCTACTGAATGTACAGAACGCTGAATGTAGGAGAACACTTCAATCTCTCTGGTCACTCAACAACAGACCTCAAAGTGGCAATTCTTCAACAAAAAAAACCTTCAAAACCAGACTCCAACATGAAGCTGCAGAACTGGAATTAATTTGCAAACTAGATACCATCAGATTAGGCCTGAATAAAGACTGGGAGTGGTTGGGTCATTACAAAACCTAAACTTAATTTCCCCAATACTAATTTCTCCCTACTGTTACTCACACCTTCTTGTCAACTGTCTGTAATGGGCCACTCTCTTACCACTTCAAAAGTTATTTTTCCTCCCTCGGTATCCTGCTGTTAATTGATTTATCTTGTTAGACTGACTTAACACTTTGTAAAGCACCCCCATCCTTTCATGTATTTATACCTGCTCCTATATTTTTTACTTCATACATCTGATGAAGTGGGTTCTAGCCCATGAAAGCTTATGCCAAATAAATTTGTTAGTCTCTAAGGTGCCACAAGGACTCCTCGTTTTTTTTGCTGATACAGACTAACACGGCTACCACTGAAACCTTTGTAATGATACCTTACAAGAGACCTTTTGCATAAAGCATATTCCAGTTACATCATACTCACTCATAAGCATATTTCCATAAAACATATGGAGTGCAACATCACAGTCACTTTGAAAAAAGTTGATGCAGTGTCATGACAAGTAGGGTCCTCCAAATGGGCAACCCTTTGAAATGCAGATGCGATACTGCAGGGGAGGGAACAGAGTCTAGTGGTTAGAGGGGTGCCCAGCAGACAGAATTCTGATCAAAGCCTGGTCTACGTGGGATGACAAATAGAGCTGGTCTGAATGTCAAAATATGCTGTTATGCTGAAACTTCAGTTTGGGTTGGTTTTAAGAGAGATTCTATAGCCTGGTGATATAGCTACTGGCCCAGCAAGTGGGCAATCTAGGTTCAAAACCCTGCTCTGCCTGGTTTAGAGTGATGAGGGATGAAAAACTGCTCTGAATTCAGGCCAGTACCCCCAGGCTATCAAGAGTGACTAACACATGCAAATGTTTCACAAAACCCTTTTGAAAGGTTTTGTTTTCATTCCAAAGCAGAATGAAAAAAATCTGTAACCTCAAAAAAATTGCTGTGAAATTGGATTGTTATCCTCTGGTCTGTTTGAGTGATAAATGCATGACAGTCTATAAAAAGGTTAATGGTAGAGAGTGAGAAAAACAGACACAAGTAGGCAGGGGAGAAAAGAAAAGATCTGTTATGTGAGAAGAGACATGGGAGGGCCATTTGAGAAGGCAGCTTAAGCAGAGAAGGCGGCTCTGATACCAGGAGCCACATTGTGAGAAGTGACAGAGGAGACATATGCTAGAAGGCCCTAGCGAGTTGTTATATGACTGTTTTAATTAACACTCTTCAATTTCTTGTCTTAACCGCTCAATCTCCCTTACCTTCTTGATACAGCAAGTGTATGGAACCCTGCAAGCCAGAGGACCACTGCCGTTGCATGAATGGTACTGATTGACGTTCCAGTCTTTATATTCATCACCTCCACAACAAGAGAACTGTACAAACAAAGAAATTTAAAAATGCATCATAACCAAGTGATAAATAACAGCCTGTTTGCAGTATGATACATATTTGCAGCATTTAACTGAAACTAATAAGAAGGGGATTCCTTATTCATGCTACCGGACAGGGGCCGACTTGGAGGTTCTCTCTGACTCTGTACCACTCAGACTAACACAGCCTCGTCTAATGTCGTCATACAGGAATTTTCCCTAAGTCACGGCTTGAACTCAGTAATTCTGGACCTACACTACAGGAGTCAGGTAGAATATTTTTGGCATGGTCAGTAAGAATTACAGAGGAAGGATAGGAGATTTTTAAGTTCACTTAGTTTCAGGCCAAGTGCAGTATTTACTTTTCTAAATGAAAACAGCTTTCCAGATGACTGTCCGTCAGGATTGTGAGGTTAGGAACAGGCTCAAGCTAGCAAGGCAGCCTTGACGTGCCTGAAGCACTGAAGCAGGACAATAGGAAAGCTCGAGTAATTTTTTAATACTGAATATTTTCAACCCGTCTGTACATGGGCTTAGAGGATACATCGCTCCCCTGGGCATGGCTAGGATTTCAAGAGCTAGTTTGTGGAACGGACATTACAAGAGCTCAAATTATTTCTTGCCCAATAGAGCAACAAATACAACTCAACAGAAGTAGGAGTCAGTTTGCTATGAACAACGAGAGTTCCACAAAGTCCTTTTGGCAGCTTGTTCTTGAAGGCACAATGAGGCTCTATGAGCTGAGGGGTGAAAACATTATGCACTTGCGGATTTTCCTACAGACATTTGGATGCTACAAGAATATGCATTTGTGTAAAACTACAAGGTCTAAAAGACCACTTCTCTGTTCATTTAAAACAGGACAAATGACTGGAGAACATGCAGGAACAATCCTGCCAATGAACAAAAGGGACAGACGATTTGATTCTATAGGTCTTTTTAAACTCTAAGGTAAGACTTTTGCTCTCCCTTTCTTTATAACAGTATCATATGGGGCTTTTTAGTGTATTAGACTGTTACTCTTTGGCCCAGGTGGTTAGCCAATATTTGGGGTCTTTTGGATTGTTTCCATTAGGAGAAGAAATTGATGAAAGAGTCAGGTATTTATTGCAATCCTATTTATTTACAAAGAACATACACAAATTCCTATTTCTCTGAACAGAGTAGGAGTCAGTTTCCTTGTTCACACTCCCAAGCCTCTTTCCAACCAATACTCTGCCTGAAAAGCTCTCTCTCAGGGCCGCGTTAACCATTGTTTCTCTTATTTCCTGGCTCTCTATTTATTTTCCTGCTTCCGGGTGCTTCTGACAGACAAATACAGCTCCACCAAATAATATCCAGCCCCTATATTTGAAATCAGTCTCCAGGGAAAACCCCTCAGATCACATGGCTCAGCTCCTACTCCAAACTTGCGCCATGGTTAGGCTGTGATTTGAGTGGTGGCTTCTGTTGTTTCAGCTATCACTAAACAGAGGAGAATTTAGCTGCTCGCTCATTTTGCCTCAACGGAAGGCTACTATCATGCCAACCAGCTTGAAGTTTGTCAAGGCTGAATCCCCACTCTGTCACTCCAAGTGCAGAAGGTGGGGGCCTGCAAGGATTCTAAAAATTAATACTATAAAATATTAAACTCCCAAGGTTACAGCTTTTCTCTGACCTTGGCTTGGTAAACGCTGCCACTGTCCAAATGCAAAAAAAACCCCTTTGAACCCAGGAAGGAGCACTTGGGAATTCCTCCCTGTGGGGTACCCTCAAGCCCTTTCACCCCTCGGGGAAGAGCTGAGATTGAAAACAAAGGAAATTAGCTGTGGCTATCAGCTAATCAAACAACATGCACAAACCTTTTAGGACACCAAAAATCCAATCCTGTTTTAAAAAAGGTAAACTTTATTAAAAACAAAAAGGGGAAAAATACATCTGGAACTCAGGCTTTTTGCTAGATCTTAAAAGAAACAATTACAAAAATTAAACACCCAAAACAACTTTCTTGGGGGTTCAGCTTAAAGGTTACAAGCAAACAAAAGCATCAGGGGTTAGCACAGAGAAGAGCCACAAGCCTTAAAAAATAAACAGAAATAAACCTGATCCCATCTAGCTAAACATTTAGGTTAACTTACACATTTGGAGTTCAGATAAGTAGTTCTAGGCATGATCTGATGATTTATGATCATACCTGGATTAAAGCTGCTTATAACATGGCTGCTCTGTCCCTCCAGCCCAGAGAACAACAGACAAAGGGAAAGTTTCTTTCCCCATTTTAAAAAGTTCTAGCCTTCCCATTGGCTCTTTTGGTCAGGTGCCCACTTTTTTTTTTCTTTACCTGGGGCCTTTTTAACCCTTTACAGGTAAAGCAAGTAAAGAACAGCTACCAAGAGGGATTTTACAGCTAACTGGCTGGCTGGGTGTCCATCAAAGGGAGTTATCCCCCCCACTTTATTTATCACAAAGTTGGTTTATGATTTCCCATAAACCAAAGATATACTCCCCTGGCAGCCACCCAACCTTCAGCATTAACAACACTAAATGTGAAAACTGCACACTGCACCTGAGTGCTAAATACACTGATTTTCACAAGCAATGACTTTTCATTCTATTTGGCTTCCAAGGACAGTGTTATTTTCATATTGCAGCTTTGCAGAGATTTGTAACAGAAAAAGAATGTGCTGGAGTGAGTTATAATTGCAGATGAAAATGCAAGAAAGCTGCAGAAGGGAAATGTTTTTCAATAAATTACAGCAAGTTTTACAATAACTTTTCTCTTCTCTCCTCCCACTCTAGGGCCTGAGAATGAGATTTCATGGGCTAGTTAAGTGAAACGTAACTCATGATGATCGTCAAATTTATTTGGCTTAAATTAATCTTTTTTAGTTAATTTAGTCTAGAAAGAAATTATTTTCACAAGACTTGTAAGTGAATTTAGTGCTGGTTAAAGGGGCCAATTTGACAGCCCGAGAGACTAAAACCCTGTCTGTATTCACAGGATAGATATAGCATAGGGAGTAGCACACCGGACTTCATCACTCTTTCCTCCATCAGTATGTCTGGCCTCTGAATTATAGGGACCACCCTCTAGGATCAAGAGGACAGGTCGGTCGCCATGACCCAGTAAAAACCTGCAAAGACAAACAATAATAATTGGGACCAGTTTTGGAAGTGGTTTTAGTGATGTGGTCACCCATCCCCCCAGGTCCCACTGGCAATTAAGCTCAAATGAAGTTGAACAAGTCAAAGACGATGACTGAAAATAGTGCATAATTGAGATTCACGGTGCTACTTGTCCTGATAATTGGCCTCTGGCTAACCTGGCCCCTCAGAAGTGCGGTGTAAGCAGTAGAACAGACAGCTGGAGATTGGCAGGCTGGAGAACAGTATAGTAGCTTTGTTTGAGGCAAGTCTGTAATCCAAATCGTAGGCCAACTGTGCACCTTTGGAGACATTTACATTGAACCAATGCTTCTCCAATTAGTATCTTCGTTTCCTCTCTCCAACTCTAACCAATTTTTCATGTTTTCTATGAATATGACAAACAGCAGCTGCAGACTGGGTTGTTTTTTGTTTTTCATTTCCACGTATGAACATATCTATTTCAGCCCAGGAAAAATCAGGCTCGTTCATCTTTCATTCAGGTTGATTTAATTAGAGGCAACTAGGATATGTCCTTTATTTCTTTCCCTTATGATCACAAGCAAGAGTTTTCATTTCATTGTCTTTAATGAATGTATTTCTCAGTTGTCTCCAACACCCAGGCTAGCTGATCCCATTCCACAAAATGCCAATCAGACTCCACTCTCTCATGGTGATTTCTCTCCCCAAGTCAAACTAAATTAGAGATCAGATTTACAGCTAAATAGAAAGTGGTTTTACTTTTTTCATATTCACAAAATACAAAAGAGTTCAAGGAAAGTCACGTTCTGTTCTTTGCAGGATGGAACTAAGCTCACACTCCATCATGTTTATTTAATTGGGATGGAGACTGTTAAATGAGCTTGCTTGTTTAAATTCTTATCTTGAAAGAAATGTCCATTTGTTGCTGGCGGGGAAAGGTGTCAGATTGACAGTCTTGGATAACTGTCCTCTTATTACCCTCCAAAGGCATTGTACAAATAACAGGAGGGCAAGTGTTGTGTCTTTCCCATACTGCCTGGCCAATGTATTCAAGCCTGTTATGGAGAGATGGCCTCTAAAGAAGATACTGAAGTTCAGTCTCTATAGTCCATTTAGCTCTTAGCCTCTCTGCTCAGATTACATGCGGTGGTGAGGAGTTTAATAACTGGTGTGTGTCCACTAGCAATTGGACCGAGACTATCAAATTCATTGCACTCCGGTCGCTGAACAGGTAGGGTTGGTTGTCATTTTAATTAAATGCTATTTGTCCAACACAAAGGGAAACCACGTCCTTCCAATGTGAGTGATGCTGTATTTTAGAATAAGAGAAGACAAACAGAAGAAGAATAAACTGTCCATGAGGGAGCACTGTGGAAGCCTCTCCTGTATAATAGCATCCAGCAGAAAGCAGGCTTCTAAAAGTTTAAACGTGCAGTACACAGAGAACAAAATCGTAAGTTTATAACTACATACATCACAGGTTGGTATAAGCAACATACTTGGTCCCAGTGTAAATCAGGAGTAGCTCCATTGATGTCAGAGTTTACCAGTTATGTCAGATGAGAATTAGGACCACTTTGCATTCAATATTTTACCCATAAGAAGTGTTCATTAAAGTTGCATAATGAATACATAATGAATATAGACATTATACAAGTGATGGAATCCAGAAGTCTAAAGATGGGGCCCAACTCAAATCTCATTTTCAAACATACCAAGACTCTGGGGAAAATTCAGAACTGGGTTTGAACCTTGAAGTTCTGGCCTTCCCCTGATTGATTGATTTTTTTTATCCACATTCTGTAATACTGATATACCTGGTGAGACAGCTACTCATACAGCCTACTCACTTTGCTCCCTTATCCATTTCCAGAGTCACTGTTTTGACTTCAGCTATT